CCTGGGGAATCCTGCCCACCCTCTGCCGCTCCTGGCTCTGGCCAGGGCTTGGCCAAACACAACACGTGTGTTGCGAGGTGCCTCTGCCCCAGCACAGGAGCGTGGGTCCCACCGCGATGACCTGCTCGTGGGGAAGGATCCGTCAGAGCTCTGGCAGGGGAGCACAGACAAGCTATCAAAGTGCAAGGTGGTGGAGAACATCAAGGCGACCCTGCAGGTGAGCGTGGAGTTCCTCGTGCTGCGGGAGTTGTTCCTGTTACAGCCCAGGTCTGAGTTTCTGAAGCTGCAGCCCTGGAGCTGTGGCTGTTGTGCCGGTGTGTTGAGCGCTTTGGTTCTGCTGTGCCCTTTGGCAGGAGTTCTATGGGGAAGACGTGAAGTCATCTCCGGATTACGAAAGGATCATCAACAAGCGTCACTTCAAGAGGATCCTGGGCCTGTTGGAAGGGCAGAAGATTGCTCACGGGGGAGAGGCTGATGAGGCCTCCTGCTTCATAGGTGCTTCTGGCAGCTTTGGGGAGGGGAGGTGGTAGCGGGTGCCTTTTGGGGGCTGAGGGTGTCTGTGGCTTGTTTGGTGTGTGTTGTACGCAGACGGTGCCCAGGACGAGGTCCTGCAATGGACCGCGTCTTCTGTCCGGCTCAACCGTCTCCTTCCCGCCTGTTTGCCTCAGCACCGACTATTCTCACCGACGTTTCTCCAGAGTCAAAGGTGATGGAGGAGGAAATCTTTGGACCGGTCCTTCCCATTCTGACCGTGAAGAGCGTAGATGAAGCCATTGAGTTCATCAACCATTGGGAGAAGCCCCTTGCCCTGTATGTCTTCTCCAACGACAAGAAGGTGGGTCCGGGCTGTGCTCCCCTGTGGAGGCTTCTCTGCTCAGGTGAATCCTGAACGTGGCCGGTCCCAGGCACGGCTCCCCGCAGGACCTGTGTCGTCTCCTCTTTGGATGTGAATCACAGCGTTTGGCTCATGGGGGCCGCGAGTGTCCGCAGAGCTGGTGGAGGCTCTCAGCCTCCTGCTGAAGGACTCTGTGTTTGCACAGCTCCCCGTGTGTCCCAGCTGGCCGGCCCACGCTGGTGGATTCTGGTTCCTTGCACGTCTCCTGCCTCTGCTCCAGGCTCTGTTGTGCCAGCTTCAGGAATTTAGGTCAGGGCTTTCCTCTGACACAACAGCCTCAGGCGTTTTGGGTGGGAGGGCTGAGCACCCCAAGCTCCTGCAGATGTACCACCGCCTCCGACCTGTCCCGCTGAGATGGAGCCTTTTCATTCCATTTCTGTTCCAGCTGGGCAGATCTTGTGTTTAAGTAATGTAAAGCCAGCCTCCCTCAAGGAACAAGGCACAACCTGTTCCCCTCCACAAAGGAGGATGCAGGTATCACCTTGGCCACCTGGTAAATGCTGTGGTGTTGGTGGCCTGTCTTGATCTCCCTCTGTCCTGTGCCATCTCTCGTTCTGGGTAGTTGATCAGACAGGTGATATGAGAGACCTCCAGCAGTGGCGTGACAGGCAACAACATCTTTATGCACTCTGGTTCCAGATCTACCCTTCAGCGGTGTGGGTGAGTCCCTGCTCCATCCCATATGCCTGGTTTCAGTCTCCCAGAGGCAGCCTCTGACCCAGGTGCCGTCATGCCCGCTTGGCAATTCAGAAAGTTTCAGCTGCATTTTCCCATTAATATTATTTTCACTGTGGGTTCCTTTGTAAAAAGGCTCATTAGTGGTTGGAGCAGTGTTGGTGCCAGTGGGAGAGGAAAACCCTCTGGCACACCTGTCCACAGCTCCAGTTCTCCCATGCTGGGGCATGGCATGAATTTGCTTGTGGCCAAGTGGCTGTTTGAGTTTCCACGGTCACTGTCAGGCTCGTGGCTTTGTGGCAGAGACAACCTGGCAGTGGGTAGAGGGCTGAGGTCTTGGGTGTTTCTTATGACAGGTTGCTGAATGTCCTTCTTATGTCCCACTGCTTGAAATAATAGACTCTGTTCCTCCTGTCCTTGACCCCAGTGTAAATTTTGTGGGAGAAGCAGGACTGGCCCTGGGGAGGAGAGGACTGCTGCTGTTAACATTGCAAGGGTGATTGCACACAACCAGCCTGAGCAGCACCAGTTCAAGGAAGCGAGCAGGTCCTCACTTATTTCTGGGTAGTTATTAAAGCTGCTCTTTGCTTCTCTGCCCTTGGGGAGCAGAGCAGCTGCTCCAGGTGTGAGAAGCACCGTGACCAAGCTTTCCCAGTGTCCTGGGGGCTGCCAAACAGAATTTAAGAAGTGCAACTGTCACCGTGCATGATGTGACCTGCCTGGGTTGTGTCCCTCAGGTAACAGCGGGATGGGCGCCTACCACGGCAAGCACAGCTTTGAGATCTTCTCCCACCGCTGTACCTGCTTGATCAAGGACCTGAAGATGGAGGGTACGAACAATCTCTGGTACCCACCTAGCAGCCAGAAGAAGGTGGACTGGGCCAAGTTCTTCCTCTTGAAGCGATTTAACAAGGGCCAAGTGGGACTGGTCATCTTGGCCCTGCTGGGGATTGTGGTAGCAGTGGTAGCAAAGGTGAGCTTTAGGTCTCTGCTTTCTGCATGAGTGGGTGTTTCCCAACTCTGTCCCCGAGCCCCACCTGGTCTCAGCTTCCATTGCCCTGTTGCCTCAGGCTCTGCTCCCTCCCTGTGGGACTCAGCCTTGTTTCTGTGCCTCTCTCGACGGTGTCCCCCAGACAAGAGGGACGATCAGCAGTCAGCAGCACGCCAGACCTGTAACCCACCACTCACTCCCCGCAGTCCTAGTGCTGAGCAGTTTTTTGCTGCAATTTCTTTTCTTCTAAGGCAGCTGATGCACTGAAGAGGTAGAAGCAAATGAAATGTACCTAAAGCAGAGAAGTCCCAAGCTGGAGGCTCTAGCTCCTGCTGAAGCACAGGAACTGATTCAGACCTACACCACCAGTCATGCCTCAGCAGTGAGTGGCAGCAGATGGAAGGAGGCAGCATTTGCCCTGCTTTGCAAACGGGAGCGCATCTAAAAATTCTTGGGAATGGGGGAATCATTTGTCACAAGGGTATCAAAACAAAGCCAGCTGTTACTGACATTGTTATCTACATAACACCTCGCGTGAGACCCATAGAAAGCTGTCTCATACCAGCAATAAGCCTAACAAAATGTGGGTCTTACAGATGGGGACAGTCCAGGCTGGTTGTCCCCAGCAGCCTGCCCAGAGCAGAGCGAAAGAGCCTCTAAGAACCTGCAGCATCCCATCCTTGAAAGGACTCACGATCGAACAGATGATGTCTCATTGCAGGGGAAACCACCTTTAGCCATCCAAGGTGCGCAAAGGCTACCTGAGGGGACAGCAAAGGCTTTCTGAGATGTGGTCACACTCTGCCCTGAGGACTCGAGGAGTGCCGGGGACCATCGCACCACCAGTGCACTGCGTGTGGGGCTGCGTGCCAAGAGGGGCATTGCTGCGACCAGAGTCCCAGGTCTGGGGAAGTCCTTGGCCAGCGTGGCTGAGCAGCCAGCCATCTCATCTGTAACTGAACTCCCATTTTTTTATTGGTTTACTGGTAGTCTTTTACCTTCAGACTTGTAACTGGAAGCTGACCTTGCGCCTTGCTGAATAAAACCTTTGTTTTACTGTGAAGGCCACCTGGGGCAGGGCAAGACCCATGTGCCGCAGGCTCCTGCATGGGCTGCAGCCCCCAGCATCAGATGTTCCCCTGCTCCCAGCCTCTGCCCAAAGGAGCCAGCCCATGTCCAGCTGGGTTTATTTATTTGGCATTTGTCACAGAGCAGCAGTGTGAGCTAGGCTGTGCCCAGCTCCAGTTGGCAGGTGATAGCTGGCAGTGCAAGCTGGAGGGTGTTACCGCATGCTTGCTGTGCATCGGGCAGCCCAGAGCAGCGTTTTGGGTATTGGAAGAGCCGTAGGGCCTGTTCCCGAGCGACGTCTGAGCAGATGCTGCCAAACGCCAGCGGGGGGGACACCCTTCGGCTCCCGTGGGACAGGCACGTGCTGGATTCTGTCACTGGCCTGTCTGTGCTTCGTATGTCCCATCCATCAGGAGGGGCTTTCGCTCCCCAAAGCAAAGTCCCCGCAGTCCCTGGTGCGAGTCAGTGTTTGCCGGTCATCAGCTTTATGACAATACCGAGTGCAAGTATTGCAATGGCCGCGGCCACCGCCAGCCCACGCCGGATGATCAGCTCCTTGGTGGCCATGGTGGTGGCCGGAGGAGACGTGGCAGGCATGTCTTCTTGGGGCTCCACCCGGTACGTGGGTCCTTCCATCCTGGTGATGCCCGTGAGCACGACGCTGTTGTGTGCATCCACTCCCGCTGCAAGGAAAACAGGGCAGCATCACTGAGGGCTTTTGGGGGGGATTGAGGGGTTTCTTGGGACGGTTTTGTCTGAGGTCTGAAAGCATGTTACGAACAGCCCAGAGCCTGGAGATCTCCAGCCCTCAACGGAGCTTTGGTGGGACCTGGTGTCTGCAAGGTGAGACCTGCCCAGGGTGCCCCATCCCTCCATCACCCTCCCAAGCCCACCTTGTAATTAGTGTTTTCCCAGTAACTGAGGGCATCACCAGCACTACACTGCACCCCCATTTTGTGGGCTTGTTCCTGGCTTATGTGAATCCTCGGGCACCCTTCCCGGACCCAAACCCACTGCTGTACACAGTGCCCAGATCCTCCATCCTGCCATGCCCAGCTCCTGGCCATACCTACGCACCCCCGCACTGCCACACCGGGGGGATAAGTGGGGGGCGGTGGGGCTGGCCCCACATCAGAGGGAAGTGCCTTGCAGGAGGGTTCAGGGCCTGAGTTCGGCTCCTCCGGCGGTGGCTGGGTCACTCCTGCGCGGCGCTGAGCCTGGGGGAGGCAACGTGCTGGGTTTAGCCGGTGGCGCGTGACGTGGGAAATCCCCACTAAGCAAAGCCAATGTGTCACCTCTCTCAGGGTTCGTCTGGCTGGAAACAGCACTGTGTAGCTGAAAGATACTCGAAATGAGAGGTGCTGGCTGGTGGAAACCCTGGAGCTACTGGGGCACGAGGTGATGCTCAGGGCTGCAGGGTTGAGGTAACCTCGGTCACCCTGTCTTTCTGCTTCATGTCCCCAACCAAGGGTGGCACAAGGTGCAGAGGGAAACCTTGAGGCTATTGAGTGCATATATGTGGGAGGGAACTGAATACAGGGACGTGGCCACGGTCATGGGAGCACTGGGTTTTGCTGGGGGCACTGGAGGACAGCCCTGGGCAGTGCTGGCCTGAGGGGGTCGAGCCCATGATGCTGTCTAATCCCGCTGCAAATCCCAGCCAAGGCACTGAGGACCTTCCTGCTGGCAGTGCACGATGCTGTGGGCGCGCGGGTTACCTCCTCAGCTGCCTTCCTCCAGTCCATGCGGGAGATGTAGACGATGAAGCAGGTGCAGAGGATGGAGACACAGATGAGCATGCTTAGCCACAGACCTGCGGAGCACACACCGGCGTCAGCCAGGTGCCACGGCTGGAGCAAACCCAACCGAGACGGCATCTCGGGACAGCAAGCCAAGAAAGGGGACGTCACCAAGGTCAGCAGGGACATGGGGATGGGACGGCCGTGGGCGCCTGCTGCGGGGCTGCCCGGCAGCGGTTGCTTTTTCCCAGTACAATTAAAAGCTCTAGGTAGTTGCAAGGGCTATTGCAGTCCACCCCAGTGTGCCCAGTCCCTAGCCAGGTAAGGAGAGCAGAACCAGGCAGGAGGGTCATGGTGAGCCATTGGTGGAGCTGGGGCAGGGAGCTGCGTCTATGCGCAGGGGATTTGGGGGCATGCAGACCTACGTGCCCGGGGTTGGTACCTATGACGCCAATCCTGGCCACGAAGAGCAGCACGGCTCCCAGGGGCAGGCCCACACCGTAGTAGCTCACGGCGTTGAGGATGGCACCAAATTTCTGCTTGCCTATGCCTCTGAGCACCCCACTGCAGGCACCCTGCCAGGGAGAGGGAGAAGGGCTGGGGCCGGGAACACCGCCTTGGCCAAACTCGGGGCTCTGCTGCTGCCCGGGGGCTGGTGAACCAGCCCAGTGATGAACAAGCTTCCCGCCTCTGCCTCATTATTTCTGTGTCCCTGCCCGGTCCCGTGGATCATTAGCTTTTTACCCACTCAGTGTTTTCTAAGGGGTGATCCCAGGAGCTTTGCAGGGTCCCGGTGTGTGTGCCGGTGCTCAACCGCAGCCTAAGGGACCCTCGACCGACTGACCTGCGATGCTGCCGCTCAGCACCGAGGTCCCCTACTGAAAACAGCAGCATCTTCAGGAACTTACACACACAGCTTCAAACAAGTGGAAGACAACGTAGACAGGTATGACCCAGGCCACCAAGTCAACAATCTCCCTGGGGACAGAGAAGAGCCAACGATTGCTTTTGCGAACCAACCTCCGCGCACCGAGGCCAGGAGCTGGGGGCACTCACTTGTCGCTGGTGAAGATGTATCCCAGCACATCCTTCGTGGCAGCTAAAATAACCCCCATGGCTATGCAAAATCCTCCTGAAAAACAGAGCAAAGCGCTGAGCCCAGCCCGGCCGTGAGCAGCCAAAGGGAGAGAGCAGGGTGTGTGCCGCAGGCAGAGGACTGCAGACGTTCCCTGCTCCTGCTGTGCCTGGAAAGAGCCCTGGGAAAGGCTTCCCGGCACGCAGGTGGCCTGACCTGTGCAGAGCAGGCTGGTGGTGGAGGATCTCTTGGCTGTTTCGGCGTCGCCGGCACCCAGCGCGTTCCCCACCTGCACGCCGGCGGCCGTGCCGAGCCCCAGGGGGATCTGTAACCACAGGGCTGAGGCTCGCATGTGCGTCTGGGTAATGGGGCTATCGCAGTGACAGTGGAATAAACACCCAGCAGAGAGGGGGACGGAGTTCAGGATTTAATTTAAAATGTCTCTGTAGGAAGGATAGGCAGGAGCAAGGAGAGGCTTAAGTGCAGAGGGGGAAGATGGAGGTTTGCTGGAGCTGATTTTTGCTGGGTGTCTGTCCTGGGACTGTCCCTGGGGAGCCCTGGTCTGAAATAATAAACCCCAGCCCTTACCATGAAAGCGACAACGGACACTTCGTAGATGATGGACTGGACGGAGAGCTCTATGACGCTCAGCAGGCCTGGGGAAGAGGAGAGGGTCAGCATTGGGTGTGGGTGTCCGGTGAAGAGCCGCTCTTGGCCCCTGCAACCGCTGCAGACACCACTCTGGGTCACAGCCTGTCCACCTCCTTGCAGCTCCCCCTCTCCGCTGACCTATCAAGAAGCTCCCGATTTCATAGGTCCACCACTCAATGCATATCATGAGCATGCTGGGGACAGCCAGGGAGGTGAAACTGTCCCACTCCAGCAGGCACTCACTGGACCAGCCTGTAGAGAGGAGAAATGTCACTTAATGGATGACCAGACTAGCCACGTCTTACATTCTCAAGAGCACACGAGGCAGCTGGAAGTGCCGTTCCTGTTTGCAGAGCCACCAAGGTAATGCTCCTCAGCTCCGTAGGACCTCCAGCAGCACAGTGTGCATGTACACACTCTGCGGATGCGGTGCTGTGGGCCACAGAGCGGTGCAACCCTCAGCTCATCGGTCCCGGAGCAGAGTGTCTAAGGACAACCTTGTGCTTACGTCTGTGCTCATCCGGCTTTGGGGCTGAATTCTGCAAAGCCTTAGCAGAAAGTTTCATTTCTCCAGAATTAATGTTTACCGCCCGGCACAGTGGTCTGCCAAAGCTCGCGCATGACGTGGTACCACCGAAGCAGCACTGCGTTCCCGGGGTGTACCGGGCTGAGGTTAATATTTCACCATCAGGACTAATAGAATTCACTAGATAGAAGTGGTGGAAGGTTCACGAACACTCGTGTAAAGCAGGAACTGGAGGGAGCTGGGGAGGTGCCCTTACCTCCCCAGGTCTTCACGTGGAGTTTCTTGCCTATAATATACAGGAACAAGAAAATGGTTTGTGAATATTGAGCAACGGTGTTGGCCCAGGCAGAGCCCCTGCAAAGGAAATGAGAAAGGTCGTCGGCATCCTGTTCATGCCTCCCCGGCCTCGGGGTGCCGAAGCGTAACATCCCACCGTGCCCCCGCGAGTGTCGGATGCTCGGCCACGCCTGGTGGTGCTGACGTCCCTGAAAAGTCCCTTACTGTTGCCAGGTGTCGTGTTTTCCCCTCCATGGGACACGGGCACTACTCACGTGATGCCCAAGTGGAAAACATAGAGGAAGATGCAGTTTGCGATCACGTTGATGATGTTGCCGAAGAGCCCGCTCAGCACCAGCGGCCACATGATCATCTGCAAAGAGGAGGAGATGGGGGCTACGGCACTTTCCCAAAAGCTTCGGGAGAGAAGTGCGAAGGTCTCCGCCAGCCCCACACTTAGTAGCTTTCCCAGCCAAAAAATAAATTTCCGATGATGTCGCCTGCTTGGAAAATGAGCGTGTTGGAGGTAAATCCCTGATGTGGGGAAGTATGAAGGGAGGTCTGTCAAGCAAATTAATACAACTGGCTGTGGGATGGGGTGATCTCCAGCATCAGAGCTGCTCCGGGGCACCCAGGCAGCACTGGGGACAAATGCTGCCTTGCCACCAGGAACGGTGAGAATGAAAACCCTGGGTGCATGGGTGAAGGGAGTCCTGAGGTGGGGCTGACCCTCCGTGGGTGTGAGGGCTGCAGGACCCACCTGGTTCTGCAGGTATCTTGTCTCCAGGTTATACAGAAAAACCGCCTGAAAAGGAAATAGGTGGATGAGATGAGGGCAACACTGAGCAGGGGCTGTGCTGCTGCAGTGGAAAATAGGAGCAGGATGGCTGATCCCCGAGTGTGGCCAGCATTGAGGGTGCCCACAGGGACTCACCGGGAGAGCAGGGACAAATGCCATCACGTAGCGTTGGGTTAACCTGGGGGGACACGAGGTATGGTTAGCGAGGAGCCACAGCCATAGCTACCCTCCTTGCAGACCCACCATGCCGGGGAGGGACAAGGCAGTGGTATCTGGTCCACGGAACCACCGGACCTGGAGACCTCAGGGTCCTGGCGGACGAGGAGCAGGAGCTGCTCGATGTTGATGAGGATGGCACAGCAGGGGAAGCAGCAGAGCAGGACGATGAGGGTGGCACGCTGCAGGATCACCCCCACACGCAGCAGGTTCTTGCTGCCGTAAGTCTGCAAGGGTGAAGAGGGTGGCAGTGAGCTCTGCACTGGCAGCGTGCTGGTGCCGGTGGGACAGGGACCCCACAGAGCATGGCGCAGCCCTGACCGCCCGGGAAGGATTTGATATTTCAAGGGGAGCACGGAGCTCCCTGTTATGGGATTGCTGCTTGGGGACAAGCTTTCCCAGCTCGCAGGTACAGCCAGGGCTCCATGCAGTGCCTGGGCAGCATCAGCCAATGCTGGAAAACCCCTTGTCTCCAGGACAAGTGCCAGGATCTCTTACCCACCTGTGATATCAAGGTGTCACATGCCGAAGACAAACCGTAACCTACAGAGATGGCAGTAACATTTATAACCTGGAAACAGGAGTTAAAAAAAAAAAAAAAAAAAAAAGAGTGAATGCGAGCATTTAAGACTTTTGGTAGGGAGCAGTACTAAAAGGAAAAGCAAGAGTCTGAAATCTCCTCTGTCCTTGTCTGCCTCCGTTCCCGTATCCCATCCCAGTGTCAGCAGGTGAGAATTGGTGCCAGGGCAGCCCCCGGGAATGCTTACAGCGATGGCCAGCGTGACGGAGGCCAGCTCGACCTTGCCCAGGTGGCCACAGAATATGGAGCTGACAAGGTGTATCAGGAAGATCAGCAGCTGGATCAGGATCTAAGCGCAGGGAAGAGGAGAGGCGAAAGTCAGAGATGGAGGTGAGCAGGGCTGGCTATGCTGGGGAGAGGGGGGAAGCGCTCACCTCCCAGGGTCCTTACCAGCGGCCCCGCCAGCACCAGCAGCTTCTTTGCATCTTCCCAGAAGGTATCTGGGACCAAGCGCTGAAGCCAGTGGCGTTTCTTCCCGCAGTTGCTGGGTGTGAGATTGTGCTGGCCAGTGGCCATTGCCTCACTGAAGCCATTCTCCTCAGGGAGGTTCGCCTGCTTCATGCTGCCGCTCTGCTATGGGAGTGAAACAACCCCTCTTCTTCCGCGCTCTGTTAAAACCACCTCGCTAGGGTGAGCAATGTGTAACCACGGTGGGGTGAACTTCAGCCAAGGGCTGGATGAGCCAACCGCATGCTTGCTTGCTGCCAGTAGCTGGGTCGGCGATGGGAAGCGCAGGCAGTGGGGCAGGGCAGGGCATGGAGCTGGGAAGCCCAGTGAGGGTCCTGTGCACTGCTGCGGGCAGCGCGGAGGAGCCCAGATGTGCAGCGCAAGGCGCTTGCTGCCTGCCCTGGGCCAGCGCAGGGGCTGAGCCTTCCCAAATCGCTCCCACGAACCCTCATACCTCTCTCCTGCTTTGCCGCAGCTCCGCCAGCCAGTGGGCTGGAGGGTTGTCCTCCTCTTCCAGCAACGATAGAGGATTCATGGGTCTGTTTGTGGTCTCCCGTGAGCTGCTGCCGGCAGTGGCGGAGCCACTGCCTGTCTCGGCCCCTCTCATCACAGCATGGCGGTGGCCAAGACAAGCTGGCCCCCATTGGCTCCAGCTGTCGGTCTTGCACAGCATGGCAGCGTCGGATTTCACCGGCGCTGCTCCGCCAGGCCAAATATAGCATCCTGCCTTGGCCCACGGCAGGGCAGGAGATGCAGAGGGGACCCACGGTGCAGACCCTCTCCTGCACAGAGCAGGAGGTGGGCTGAGGAAGGCCATGGGGCAGAGCAAGGCAGGCTTCCTCTTCTCCCTAGGCTCCCATCCCAAAACTACCAGGGTTCTGAGCAGGACAGTCTGCCACATCCTCCCTAAATCTGGGACAAAGGCTACTGAGGTCAAGGTTGATGGCTGTTTCAAGCTCCTTTTCATCACATCTTTTTATTGCCAGCATCATGTGCCATGCACCAGCTTTATGTGATATTTACCTCCACCAGCTGAGCACGTGCCACACCACAGAGGCAGTGGCCTCGCTGCTGTCACACCACTGCAGGTAAAAGCCTGGGACAGGTTGCAAGGGGCTCGGTGCTGAGGGCAGGGGCATTTGCATTAAGATATACAGCACTTCCCTGATGGCTCTGTAGGGTTGTGTACCACACCACCCTCTCCTGTGCAGCTCAGCAGTGGTGTCAGAGCTTTTGTACTTGAGGGGAGCAGCATGCTCTGTGACCCCAGCTAAAACAAGCCCTGACTGCTGCTGTGCCCAGAGCCAGCCCCAAACTGCAGGGCCAGGAGGCTGAGACTATGCCCTGCACAAGCCTGTCATGCTGCACAAACCAGGCATGCATCTCTCCTCTAACAGCTTAGTCATGGTGATGACCCGGGTCATGCTCACACCACATTAACAGCCCAACATTTACTCAGAAAACTTTATTGTATCAAAATCCCACCTTACAAAAGTGCAAAGAAGAGTTGCTTTAGGCCCTGTGCCTGCCACACAGCAGGGAGAGCAGGGCCAGCAGCCAGCACCCAACGCCCCAGCAGCAGTCAGAGAAGTCGGCCATCTTCCAAACAAAATCAGCCTTGCTCTGCACTGCTGCAGCAGTAGCAAGTGGGCTCTACCACATCAAGATACTGGCACTGACTGGTGCGTGAGGAAACCTGCTGTGGGCAGCAAAAGCCTCTGCCATTAGCAAACAACAGGGACAAATGCCCCCAGGGAGTAGGAAGCAGGACAGCAGCACAAGGTCCCTGTCTCCTTAGAGGGGCCAACCCCAGGATACACTCCCACCTATCATGAGTGACATCCCAGTGCAGGGTAGGAGAGGGACCAGTTCTCAAGCACTTTCTTCCCAGGTGCCACCTTTAAGAACTCTGCATGTGGGATAAAACAGTGTGAGTTAACCAGAAACTGAGCAAAGTGACTCTTTACAAGGAACTGCGGGGGAATTCCTTCCCCTGCACCATCCTTCTGGGACATTACCACGTGCCCTCCTGCTTTGTGCACAGTTCCCCAGGGTCACTGGTTCTAGCCATTGCCAGTCAGGAGCCGGACCAGTATGCCCACCAGCAAGACAGCAATGGCAGCAGCAGCAGCCAGCACACGGCGGATAATCAGGGCCCTCCATACCACAGCGGCAGGAGCAGGGACGACAGCAGGTGCCTCCTGTGTGATGAGCTGGTGGTCAGGTTGCCTCTCACCCGTCACGATGCTGTCAGGCAGGACCATAGTTTCCACGGTGTCTGTGTCAACAGAGATGTAATCTGCGTAACAGAAAGGTAAGTGCTGTAGGAAAGCCAAGCTGCAAAGCCAGGGCATCACAGTCTGATGCTGCACAAGTGCTAGTGACAGTCCTGAGGGTCCTTTCCCAAGTCTCAGGGACACTGGGACATGCTGCAGCAAAGTGGCAGGTGTTCCCAGGTAAGGCAGACACTGGCTGGCAGTCCAGGCTCTTCCCTGGAGCAGCCAGGGTGGTGACAGGGGTAATGGGGTATCCTGTACCCCATTACTAAGTACAGGAGAAGTGCCACTGGCCTGGGACCAGCACCAGACACTGTGCTCTTCCCAGCCTTCTGGGCCTGCAGGACAGACACAGCTGCTATGACTGTGAAGGAAAGGAAGGGTTGGGTGGAGAATTCAGGCTCCCTCCCCGTTGTCAGGCCCGGTTACATACCCACAGCAGATGTTTTGTTAGCAACCGTGCCATTGGAGTTCACATCTTCCAGTTGTTTTTTCGGTCCAGCTCGGACTTGAGCCTAAAAACATACAGAAGGAGTTGCTCTTCTCAGAGCAAGGGTGTCCTGCCCAGCCAAGCAAACCTGAGCCTCCTCCCTCCACTCTCCCAATACAAGCATGCTCAGCACAAAATTGCTCTTCCACTGCAGAAAAGGGACAGATCCCGTTTCACTTTTGCCTCCCCCCAGTGAGCTATGGCATTGTCCTGGGACAGGAACTCACTTAGCACCTTTTAAGAGTTACTAGAGAGAAGCACAAGTCTCACCTCTTCTGCCGCTTTCTTCCAATCCATGCGCATGACAAAAGCCGAGAAGGAAAGGGCTTGCAAAGAGATGCAAATGATCATCCCCACCCACAGACCTGCAGCAATGGAGAGTTACTTCAGGGAGGGCTTAAGGAAAGCCTGCTTTTGCCAGCCACTGCCAAAATGCCCAAGGACTTCAGTGGGGTCAGATTATTGCCCCATGTCTAACCCAGTCTTGATGGGAGAGCTGCCCTGAGGGGCAGCAAGAGGAAACAACTCCTGGGGGGGGAGGTCCTATGCTGGGAGCAAGCCTGCATTTACTGGGATGTCTCAGCCCCCATTTGATGGAGGCTACTCAGAGCCTGCATGAGCTAAACACTTGGGTGTGCAATCCAGCCCCACTAAGCTGAAGGAGGATCTGAGCACAAGTTCCAGGGCTGAGCCTTTGCTCAAGGCACAGGGTTTGGCCCAGCAGCAGTGCTGGCAGCTCATACAAAGCCAGGCTCTCAATGTCAAATGGAGGACACATGTACCTAACACTCCCATCTTAGCTGCGAACATCAGTGAGATGCCGATGGGCAGGCCGATGGCATAATAGCCGATGGCGTTGGCGATAGCACCCATCTTCTGCTTTCCTGTGCCCCGCAGCACACCACCACAGGTTGCCTAAGGAAAGCAGACAGAGGAATCAGTATATACAGCACATGCTGTGGAAGGTACCACCGGAGCTCTGGGGTATGGCATGGCCCCATGAATAAGGGAACCCACAGCACTCTTCCGCAGAGTCAAGAGAGACCAAAGCCTCATCACAGAGCACACAGTGCAGGGCTCCTCTCGTTCCAGCTGCCAGCCCAGGTGCAGAATGTGGAGCTGTCTGCAGACAATGAGAGGCATGCCAGCAGACCCCATAGTGCTTTCCACATTGCCTGGGTCCCTCTCTCAGGGAGATGACAGGAGACAACAGACTGAAATTACAATCTAACCATCTAACAAGTTGTATGAGCACTGCCACTATGCTGGGAGTACCTGGTATCTCTGAAGTTCCAGCTGCTCACTTGTGCTGCTCTGACAAGCTAGTAGAAAGCTGAAGCCTTGCCAGTGGAAGAGAGGGAGAAGCTGGGTTGCTCTGCAGCAATGCCAATGGGCAACTACAAGCACAGGGGACACTGAGGTGCTATAGGTAATGCAAGCAGCTGCTTTGACAGTTTATCAGTTTGCTTCTCTCTATCATTTTAATAGATCAAGAGTGAGCTAGAGGCAGCTTTGCACTCTCCATTGCACCCCCACCTGCAGAGAGGAATTGCTTCACATGCTGGAATACTCACTGCTGCTGCATCAAACAAGTGGAATGGAGCAAAGATGATCATCACTTTGGACACCAAGATAACGATCTCCCTGTTGGGAAGATGTACGTACTGATCAGGGAAAGCAGCACAGCCTGGTCTCAAGGGACTGGACTCATCCAGCTGCAAAGCCTGATCCCAGCCCATAAGACTTGAGGGGATGCATGCAGCTTGGCTACCACCATGGTAGTGTCCCAGTGTCAGAAGCATCTGTGCTGCCCAGTGACACCAGGCAGTTGGGAGGAACCTTTGGGGAACATGTTTGCCAGGAGGAGGTTTATGAACTCTGACAGCTGCTTCTGAGCAGCTCCTGGGATACAAATCATGCCCTCCAAGAAGGTAATAATATTCAAAAGAAAGCTGTTAACCCACTTGTCACTGGTGAAGATGTATCCCACCACATCCTTCAGGGTTCCCAGTAATGTTGCAACCACCACAGCAAAAACTCCTGAAAGAAAAAGAAATAGTCAGATTGCTTGCCTCAAGGGCAGCATGTCCTGCTCCTGACCAAGGCCCAGACCTCAGGGGCTTCATGTGATGGGGATTGGACTTGGCTGACCTCCAAGTGATACTGCAGTAGAGGACAAGTCTGTTTTCCTCACTTTCTCCCCAGATACTCCCTCTACCTTCTGGAGGTGGAGGACAGAATGCTAAATTGTATTTTTAACTATCAAAGCCTTTGCAGCAGGTTTCTAACAGAAGAGAGGAGCTAGGATCTCACCTTTCCCAAACAGAGGGTCCAAACAAGTGGGTCTGGGTTCCTAGGGTGGGTCCCCAGCCCGGTAAGAGGAGAATTGAACCATTTACTGATAATTTATTCCACTCTGCAGCACCTGGACTGACCTGTGCACAGCAGAGCAGTGATGCAAGAGGTCTTGGCTTGCACCACATCCCCCGATCCCAAGGCATTGCCCACTCTGACACTCACAGCCACGCTGAAGCCCAGAGGCACCTGAGTAGCAGGAGACAAGGAAGAGGTGAGTGGCAACAGAGCCTGTAGCAATTTTCTTCCCCAGGAGGGAATTTGGGGCAAATTGGCATTGCTGCAGTAAAGGGATTTTCCATCTGCAGCACAGCCCTGGGTGTGCACCTGCACAGCAGGCCTGAGAGTCATCACCTGCCTGGCACCAACTCCTGCTTCCCACCCCTGCTTCCCTCCCCAGCCTTGATCTGCAGGGCCATCGTTTGGGGGCTCCTCCCAGGCTGATTTTGGTTTAACACTGTCCTGGTTTCAGCTGGGATAGAGTTAACTGTCTTCCTAGTAGCTGGTACAGTGCTATGTTTTGAGTTCAGTATGCGAAGAATGTTGATAACACTGATGTTTTCAGTTGTTGCTAAGTAGTGTTTAGACTAAAGTCAAGGATTTTTCAGCTTCTCACGCCCAGCCAGCGAGAAAGCTGGAGGGGCACGAGAAGTTGGCACAGGACACAGCCAGGGCACCTGACCCAAACTGGCCAACGGGATATTCCATAGGAACTGGGAAGTGGGGGCGGGGAATCACCACTCGGGGACTAGCTGGGTGTCGGTCAGCAGGTGGTGAGCAGTTGCACTGCGCACCATTTGTACATTCCAATCCTTTTATTATTACTGTTGTCATTTTATTAGTGTTATCATTATCATTATTAGTTTCTTCTTTTCTGTTCTATTAAACTGTTCTTATCTCAACCCAAGAGTTTTACTTCTTTTCTTGATTTTCTCCCCCATCCCACTGGGTGGGGGGGGGAGCGAGTGAGCAGCTGCATGGTGCCTAGTTGTTGGCTGGGGTTAAACCACAACAGACACACTCAGCCCTTACCATGTATGCCGCAGAGGAGAGCTCATAGATGACAGACTGTGCCCCCAGCTCCACCACACTGAGCAGCCCTGGAAAAGATTCATCACTTCCTTCATTAGGTCAGAATTAAACTTCTCCTTTGCTGACAAGGAGGCAGTGACTAGAGAGTTCCCATCTAACAGATGCAGCATCCTGCAGAACCAACCCTGCAGGCGAGGAGGCTGCTGGCAGCAGGTGCTCTGGGGACATACTCAAAAAGGCAGCCATCAGAGCAGGCATGACTGGAAGACCTGTTGAACCAGAGGAAAAAGAAGATTTGGACTCACCTGCCAAGAAGCTCCCAATCTCAAAGGTCCACCATTCAATACACATCATGAGCATGCCGGGCACCGCCAGCCGGATAAAGGACCCCCAGTCTAGGAGGCAGTCCCTGGTCCAACCTGCAATGAGGAGGTGAAGCAAAATGAATGCATGTTCTCCCTCTCCTCCCCTAAAGGGGGGAGCCATATGCTCTTCTGGACACTGTCTGAGGACAATCACCACCGCAGCTCACAGCAGCAAGACTAGGCTGATGCCCTGTACCATGATGCATTCCTAAGACAGGATGATCAACAACAATGTACTTGGAGCTACAGCAAAGGCCTTGAGGACCTAGCTACAGCATGTTCCTGCTGTGAGGGGATGGTAATCCCTTTGTCAGGTGCTGGTGACAGTGCCAAATCCCCAGGGCCAAACACTGGTATTTTGAAAGATTAAGCTATGAACAGTACCTCCCCAGGTCTCCACATGGATCTTCTTATACCACACATAAAGGAAGAGGAGGATGGCCTGAGTGTACTGAGAAACAGTGTTAGCCCAGGCAGAGCCCCTGGGGAGAGAGACAGGCAAATTACAAATTACATCCTCCCCAACCTTCTCAGCTATAGCAGAAGAGACCTGGTGGCACCCATACAAGCCTTGCTGCAGATATGGGGCAGATCTCTCCAGCCTTATCTTTGCAGGCTGGTTGGCTGGGGACAGAGGGTGGCAGAACTGGGCACCCAGGACACCCCCCACAGCCCTAATCAAACCCCTGCACCCAGGGAGAGTCGTCACCACCTCTGCTCACACTTACACCATGCCCAGCTTCAGCGCATATAGGAAGAAGGCGTTCATGGCCACATTGAGGATGTTGGCTGCAATCCCCGTCAACACCTGAGGCAAAATGATCGCCTGGAAGCCAAGGAGGGACTTTGGAGTTTGCTTTCCCAACACTGCCCAAGACCCAAGCAAATGCAGGGGAGACCTTCAGCAATGCCCAAGGAGAAAGCCAGGAAGACAGCTCCTGTTTCAGGTAGAGCTGGATTGTGTTAAGACATGCAAAAGGTAGCATGCAGGGCTCAAGAGCCGGTGCAATCAATAAAATGCAGAGTTGGGAGGTAGCAGTGGGGAAATGGAGCAAACTAAGGGTGGTTCCCATGAGCTCTCCATGCCCGGCAGGGCTGGGTGGGGGGCTGTGCATCACACATTCCTCAGCCCAGCTCTTCCCGGAACAGGATGAACTTAGATCCCCAACTTTATCCATGTTCCTAGGATTACCTTTAATCTATGGCCCTGAACCTGGCTAGTTATACAGTACCTGACTTAGTAAATATCTTGTCTGCAGCTGGTACAGAAACGCCGCCTGCAAAAGTCAGGATTCATTTCATCAGCACTGCTGCACTATGGTTCAACAGCCAGCTACCACTTAACACTCACAGATGGGTCCCTCCCTCAGCCCCCTGCACTGCCTTCTCAGGGTGCCCCAGCCAGGCATGCTGCTCAGCACCCTGCTCCTGTGGTCTGGTTGAAGCATGGTATCTGCCAGCACCGGCTGCGCCCCAAGCCAAGAGTAATAAAAGGCACATCCCGTTCCCACTGGGGAGAGAGATCAGCCTCCAGTTGGGAAATCTCCTTTGCTTTCTCATCAGCACAAGAGAGCCTGGAAACCTTGGAAGAAAGGATTAACCTACAGACCTTATTCCCCAGGGGTACTGCTCCCCATCTTGGAGGAGCCAGAGTAACTAGCCAAGAGCCCAGCAGCTATGAGTGTGTGCAAACAGCAAGCTGCAGCCTTTATCTCAGAGCTAAGAGTGAGCCCTGGAGCCCCTAGTTCCAATGTCCGTCACCAGTTACCTGTTGTGCAGAGACGTGCCCTGCAGTAAAAGGCTTTGCACAGTAAGATGAAAGAGTGTATGTTTGCTGGTCCAGCAGCTGCTGGACAATACACATCTGTTAAGGCCCAAGATCAAGGCGCACATCATAAAACCCTAAACCATGTTGCCCTGTGATCCACACAAAGACACTCCCTCCTTTCCACTAACGTTACTGAGGGATACGGAACTTTTAACAGCTTTAGCAGCAACTTACAGGAAGCGCTGGAATAAAGATCATCACGTAGACCTGAGTTAACCTGGAAAGAGAGTTGTTTTCCCAGTTAATGACACAGCAAAGCAAGAGCCAAGCCAAGCAGCGTTGCACTCAAGCTCCACAGAGCCTCAATTTCAACACTACGTGGCAACCCAGCCACAGCCAAATGCCTGATCCAGAAGGGCTCAATCTCACCCCTGACCTGGAGACCTCGGGATCCTGTCGGATGAGCAGGAGGATCTGCTCGGTGTTGATGAAGAGCGCCCAGCAAGGGAAGCAGCACAGCAGCAGGATGAGGATCCCCCGCTGCAGGATGGTGCCCACCTGCTTCAGGTTCTTGCTGCCATACGTCTAAGTCAGGAGAGAGGACCAAGGTGAGCATTACAGGGAACCAAAGCGTCTAGGCAAATCCACAGGACCCAGGGCAGCAACAGCCTGATTAAATGCATTTCCCACACCCTGCAGTGGCTAATGCCAGGCTGGTTGGGTATAACTGGCTCTCGGGCGGATTGCACATCCCTTTACTACCCAGGCATGACCCAGGGCTCCTTGAAGCAGCTGCAGGAAGGGAACAGGCTCCAGTCAGTGCATCTGTAGCCCCGTGCTGGCTGAAAGCTGCCATCCTCCCACCCTTTGTGCCCAGATCACACTGCACAGGAGGTGAGACACCACCAGTCAAACCCTGTCAGGCACAAGAAAGGGGGAGCTGCTACTGACCTGGGACATCAGTGTGTCGCATGCTGAGGCTAAACCAGAACCGATGGAGATGCCCGTCACGTTGATAACCTGGAGGAGAGACAAGGGACTCGAGTTGCAATGGAGGGTGACAGGGGGCCTGGCCCAAAGCACTGTGTCCCTCCCAACTGGGTGGGGAGACAGTTCTGCTACGACTTTTTGGGAAGTTTCCAGCCCTTCTCGGTTTCTCAGAATAACACATTCTTGTTACGTAAATAGCCGCTTCTCTCCCCTGGTGTTGAAAAGGATCCTCTAGCAAGGGGTGAATACCTAAAGGACCACAAACAGTGCTGCTCCTAGCCACATCCACACCCCCAGGTCAGGTGGGTCCAGAGAACTGGTCACGGGCTCCAGGTCCCTGCCCAGGTGCTGGCCTTGCACTGGCACAGTCACTGACTGATTGGTTCCTCTCTCCTGCCTATGCTCAGGGCAAAAGAAAGAACGGTTTGGTGGATGCGATGTTTGCATTGCATCACGCTGTGCTTACACGCAGGGTCCTCACATATACATTCCCACAGGTTTGGGGTTTTTTCTTCTTTTTTTTTGGTGACATAAAATTTACACATTTTAAATCAGAGGGGGATCAGAGTAATACATACAGACACAGCCAGCGTCACAGCATCCAGCTCAGCTTTCCCCAGGTGGCCACAGAAGATGGAGCTGACCACACTGATCAGGAACCCCAGCAGCTGGGCGACAAACTAGGATGGAAGGAGGAGACCGTGAGATGAGGACCAATTAAGACTTGAGGAACACCACCCTTCCCCCAGGAGTTGGACTAAGAACTCGGGTTTCCTGGTGTCAACGCAGCACCTCGTCACGAGGCCAGGGCTCTGCTGTCCTGGGAACATGTCCTCTGGGGCAGAGGAGCCAGCTCTAGGGCTCGCACAGGCTGTCGGTGGCTTTGTCTTTCAAAGCTGGCCTCTACCTGCCCTGTGGTATTTTGGTGTTACACAGCCAATCTGCCAGATGACCTTGTTTACATGTGGCTTAAGGGCTTCACTAGAAATCCTCTTTTCCAGGATGAAAGATGCATAGAGAGGGAAAATAAAAAATCCCAATGTTTTTCGGCATGTCTGTGCATCTGGGGAAACCTCTCCTCACAAACTGCAATGTCCTCTCCTCCTGGAGAGATGCCAAGTCCAGCCTGCTTGTTCTTCGTCAGGGGCTACAGCAAGGCTTAACGATGCTGCAACAGAGATCACACTCCAGACCTCATTTTTTCCTTGGCAAGATGACGGCCCCTCTCAGGCACCCAAGGCACGGAGTCATGGCACAGCTAGAACCAGATGGTAAGAGTTAGAGACATTTATACCCCCTGAGGGGTGGGCATGGCTGGGGACTATACCCAAGGTCTGCTCACACTCCTTTTCACCCAGCAGTTGGCAAGCCAAGAGCCCAGCGCTGCTGAAGAATCAGCTCCTGTGGGGTCAGGGGAAGAACAGAACAAAACCTTCTCCTCTCCAGACGTCCCACCACTGCCTGCAGATGTAGTCCTCCTGCCAGGCATGGGCATGTGCGACCTGCTGCTGTAAGTAATCCCTGCAGCAGGGATCCATACCTCCACAATTGTTCTAGCACAGGCTTTGTCATGAAATGGGCATTAACTACTGACAGCTGCAGGTGTGGTTTTGAGGTTATCTGGGCACATAGAGAAGCAGGCTGTGCCACCGGTGGAATGGCTGAGGGGACTGAACTAGGGCTGATTTATTCAGCTGCAGAAACCGAAACCCATCTATACTTCCTCTGCTGCCCGATCACAGCAGGTCAGTGCTTTGATGTCAGGGAGGACATTTCCGAGTTCATCACTTGGTACTTATTCACCAGATAGAGTCAAAAATTCAAAGCACAAAACTTCACGCACAACGGATTTAGACCAGGGTTGTGACGCACGCTCCCTTTTGCGGAAGCCTCTGCAAAACACCCTCAGTGCTGCACCGTTGGTCCCTGACTACCAAAGAACGCATCTCCTTCCAGACTAACAGCAGCCCAGGGAGGATTTGGGGACTATGAGCCATAGGGCACCTTTGCACCCAGAGTCTGCTGGAAGGGCTGGCCAAGGAGCTGGCATCAAGCAAAGCGACTTGCTTGTCACCCAAGCGGTACGCAGCAGTGCCGGGACTGCAAATGGGTTTCCCAGAGCAATTTAACAGCTTTCCCCCCCTCCCCAAGTCCAACGCTCTCCTTTTAAAGCCCTGCTGCCAGGCCCTGCCGGAGCAGGTCACCTGGACCAAGCTAGACAGCAACAGGAATTCCTGTGGCAAAGAATAAGCCCTCGGATGGCAAATTAAAGAGCGAACGGTGCCGTTTTAATTCCAGCTGTGCCTTCAGCGGGCAGGGACTGCAGGAGGGAGGGACCGGGCCGTCCCCTGTCCTGCCGGGGAGGAGAGGTGAAGCCCCGGTCAAGCGGAGCCGTGCCCGGGAGGCTGAAGGGAGATGAAACAGCAGCGGCACGGCCGGGCAGGGCTCTCAGCCCGCTGCGGACGCCCCTCCCGGTGTCAGCCGGGGCCCGAGATCTCCTCCACAGCCCGGGTTGGCCGGGGCACGCTGCCAGGCTCCGGGCGGCCCAGCCCCGGGGGCGGCGGCCCCTCACCTCACCTCA